GAGTGCCCGAGCGTGCAGCTGTTTGGATGGAAAGTCAAGTTTGGATGAGCTCAGGTTCAGACTGGCTTCAGTCTGAACCTGAGCTCATCCTTATGTATGTATGTATGAATGGATACACTGTCCTGTAGAGTTCCAAGACCTACAATATAGAAGCCATGGTTTCCATACATTGCACTGATGATGGCCAAAAAGCCTGAAACAGCCGTATGCAGTTTGGAATAAATGGCTCTATTTGCACTATACACCAGTGGTGTTGGACGTGCATCTGGCTAGTGGGGCATTAAGCACTGATTTGCATGTGGCCATGTTTTTAACTGAACAATCGTCTGATGTATCTAAGTGCTGCTGATCTCTACCAACCTCTTTGCAGACACCTCCTGTCTACATGCACTCCAGTGATGACTGTGGGCATTTCTCGGGGCGGGTTTTTCCGATGCTGACAACAGTGGACCACGCCTGTACTTATCGGCTCCATTGGAAGCACATATCACATTACTAGACAGGGGCAGAGCGTTGTCATCCTATAACAGAAGTGCCTATACAAGGACCTGCATGCCATGATCACCACAAACCTGCCGCTCTCATACATGGAAGCCCTAGTGTTGATTATCAATCCCCTCTCTCCTGGGCCATTCACAGAATGCCTTCTATTTTATGAATCGTTCTATGGAGAGTGCCATGGGTGCCACGTAGGCTGGGCTCCAAACATGTCTTCCTCTCTTCATCTCAGTCACATAGTGGGTTAGGGGATTAGTAGTTTACAAAAGGAAGACAACATTGTTTCCGCTTGAAGTTCAGCTTACAGGAAGCGACAAGGACTCAGGACAGGGATTTTCTGTACTGGCTGCAACTGCTGTTAGCTTAAAAACGAGAAAACTAAAGCTGGCCATACACACTTCAATCTGTACAATGTCTTTAAAATCTCCACTAGATCAACAAAAACTAGATAATATAGGGGTCCTAATTGGCACCAGATTGAATGGACTGTTAAAGAACAGTTCATTCAATCTGGTGCCGAGGAGCCAATTAGGCAGACCCTTTGAACTACATAGTTTTTGGACATTGTACAATCAGACTGTAAAATGTATGGCCAGCTTAAAGGAGAAGTATGAGGTGGGTGCTTTTCACTCATCCTCATAGTTCTAGCCGACCTGTGACAATTAAACTGTCACATGTCCGCTCAGTAGATCGGGAGGTGAGCGAACATATACCGGCGTTCGCTCACTTCTCGATCTTGTCACGGCAGAGAGCCGTGACAGGGGAGGGGCTGGATTCCCCCTCCCCCCTCCGATCCTCCAGCGCTGACTGGCGGAACGGACGGGGGAGGGGCGGGTACAGCTGGCGGGTACCTCTAGATAGGCAGAGCCAGCTGTCACGGATGCAGCTGGGCGGATCCAGACATAATTGTCGGGATCCGTTTCAGCTGCCGCGTCTCAGTATACCGCGAGCTGTAGCTCGCGGTATACTGAGCTTAGAGTGACGGGAGGACGCTAGTTTGTGTCCTCCTGTTACCCTTCGGAGAACTATGCGGAAAATCCCTGACCCCATAGTTCTCCTTTAATGCACCCAGAACATCTATGAACAGGTAAGCTGTAATTAAAAAAAATTTTGGCGGGGGGAAGACAGGACGGGACTCAGTTTTGCCCATCTCTAACTCTTCTACACAAGTAATTTTCTGTACTCTGTGTGTATATACGTGCAGAATAAGATTGTAAGCTCCTTCAGGGAAGAGACTGATGTGGCTGACGGTTCAAAGTATTCTATATCCCCTAATGTCACCTAGAGACCCCCAAAGAAGCTGTAGAGGCAGAGATCCGCTTCACCAGCTTCTTCTCTGGCCATTGCAGCCACGGAAATGAAAGCTAAAAGGCGGAAGTGATGTAATACACATCGCTTCCGCCTTCAGAGAGAGAGAGGAGAGATCAGCAGTGGGGGAAATGCTGATCTCTCCTCCGTCATCACTGGAAACGGCCGTCGTGCCCATCTCAGGCCCGCAGGGGGGACAGCGGAGCCCGGTATAACCAGCAGCGGCACTGAATGGGGGGGTCGCAAGCTGCTTGCTGTCATACAAGCGATCGGCCAGCTGTAGAGGCAGCCGAACGCTTGTATATAACAGCTGGTGCTGGCGGTTTACATCCCCAGCGGGATTCTGCACGCGTGCGAGCAGAAAAAAAATAGTGATGTCCAGGCACATCCACCCGCTGGGAAGAGTCCGCTCGTGTATTCACAAGTGGTAAAGGATAACTCAATTTTCTAGGTGAATTTGGGAAAATGTAATTACCCCCACTGCTCCTCTTAGCTGCCTGTGTACTAACCATACTCCATACACAGAAGCGCAGCCGTGCGCTCGGTATTTCAAATTACGCATGCAAATGGCAAGCACTCATTGGTCAGCACGGGCACCTGAAACGAGCTGACTAATGAGAAGCATTTTTGAAATACAGAGTATGGATGGTATGCTGGCAGCCGTGGAGGAAGGTAAGAGCAGCAGCGGGGGGGAAAGGGTGGCAGATTGGTGGGGGTAATTACATTTTCCCAAATTCGCATGAGAGAGTGGACCTACCATAACACTGCAGCCTTCAAAACCGTTTGTTTGATGCGTTAACCTCAAACGCAGGATATGCATGTACAACACAGCAGAAGATTTTGGTAACAGACTTTATGATGCTCTCTAGTAACATGCGGCAGAGACGTGATCAGTGATAGTCTGGTGCGCAGCTGTGTGCTATGGAGGATATAAACCCATTCAACCTGCGTAATGGAAAACTCATAATAAACACATGGTGACAACAACATTTACATCTAAACTGACGGGGGTCACAAAACAATACAGTTTTAGGGGGAAAATAATTATTTTAAAAAAAATGATTTAGGAGTTCCACGTGTCTTTACCAGTGACAGACAGGTGGAAAGATTTTAAAATGATGACCTATGTCCAAAGACCAGTCTTGGAATCCCAATAAAGGCCACAGCAGGCGGTCTCTATAAAACCTCTCATCCAGCAGACGTTTGTCTCTGTAGTCACAGAGCCAGGTGAGCACGCGTCTGTGACCCTTTCTATAAAAACACGCAATTTACTAAACTCTAAAACGTGACTTATTTTCAGCAAGGACAGTTATGTAACAGAAAATGGGAATTATTACTACAACTGATACATGCATTATAGAGCATTGAAAGCCTATTATGTTATGCTAGGGATAGGCAACCTTGGCACTCCAGTGGTTGTGGAACTACAAGTCCCAAGCCCCTCTGCTCTCTTCTTCATTCAGCATGTACCTTCTTAGCACATAGCCACTGCAGCACAACTGATTGGTGCTTGTGCTGCTTTTTCCTTTTCTAGTCTGAGCACTGCTGCACAAAGGGATTGCAGGTGGTGAATACCAAGTCAAATTCTGGTACTTACACTGCTTGCATTTAAAATATAAATGTAATGATTGCTGCATTAAGACCCCAAATTATAAGTGGCTATCCTGCCAGGCCAGTGTGTAACATGTGACTTCCTTTTAAGTAGGGACAACGCTTGCCTGCCTCCTGGGAAATTGTAGCATTGTTGTCCAACTTACGTGCGCTGTCTGCTTGGAATACAGTGTGATATAAAGACACAGCATCATAGGCGTTAATATACAGTATGTTGGCCATGTCCATCTGTACCTGGTCTGACGGCGCCATCCCGCTTCTGGCCCTATGCTGAAGCCTCATGCACACGGGGGATTTTTGTGCATTCGGGGGTTCCGTTGGCAAGAACCTGTGGACTCTTGTGGCAGGAATTCCACGTGGGTCCGTACAGATGCGGCTGCTGTGCCCATTCATGTGAATGACAAGCTGGCGCATCTGTCCATGGATGTCTGCATGTAACTGTACATGAAGCGATTAGCTGCAGTTCAGGATAGGCGATGGACGCAAACAGATTGTGTGCAGGGGCAATCACCTATCCTGCTGAATCGCAGTTAATTGTTTCATGTACAATTACATGCAGAGAACCAAGCACAGATGCGGTAACTGCCAACCTGTCATTCACTTGAATGGGCACCACGGCCGCATCTGTACGCATTCACTTGGAATTCCTGCCGCAAGAATTCCCAGAAGCATATAAAAGCCCCGGGTACATGAGGCCTAATAGGGCATGTTAGAGAGAGATACATATTGGGAAATGTACTCCCTCCTGTGCTGCTACTGTCCCCACACAGCTACCCCCTCATGTATCACTTCCCCCTCCCTTTTAGATTGTAAGCCCTCAGGGGCATGGCCCTCCTTACCATCTTGTCTTGAATTGTATTGCGATTGTAATGTCTTCCTTATATTGTAAAGCGCTGCGCAAACTGTTGGCGCTCTATAAATACTATGTAATAATAATAACTATGCGGGGGTGATGTTTACAACAGGATCTCTCCTCCTATGGCGTAACAGCACAGCGGCCATGCAAAGTCATCTGAGCACTACTTTCAAGATTAATGGGCCGTGGGTGCAATGTTCAGGCTCCTGCAGACTTCTCCTCTCTGTCCTAGTCCGTACCAAGGTACGGACCTTCACTTATGGAGATGGAGGAAGTAATCAATAAACTGCTGAAGTGCAGATGGGACTTGTTTTTTCATTCACGGATCCTATAAACGGATCCTTGAATGAATAAGAAATGCCGATTTCCAAAATACACAGGAACCTGCCAGGAGAAGGAGCCCAAGATTCAGGCAAGTGAGGAGCTGGGTTGAGGGCTGTGGAATGGCACCAAGTTCCATTGTACACTCAAATTATGGTGCACTTAGCTCTTGAGATGCATGTAGGGACGACATAGAAAGAGTAAAAACTAAATACTGAGCTGGTTTAGCACTCATTTATTCCATCGACAGAGCGTCCGGGCAGACAGAGCGTCCGGGCAGACAGAGCGTCCGGGCAGACAGAGCGTCCGGGCAGACAGAGCGTCAGGGCAGACAGAGCGTCAGGGCAGACAGAGAGTCTACAAAATGTCAGGGCAGACACACACCCAAACCAGCATCTCAGCAATAAAGATCCGTCACACCAAAACAGGTACCAGGTGCTGCTTCTGCTTCACAAGTCTTTACCGGCCACATGAACCTTAGAACAGGTTCACACTGAGGCTTCACCTACATAAAACTGCAGGGGCTTCATTCGGGGAAAATGCGAAGCAGTCGCCATTTCCTGTCACGTCTATAGAACCTTTATCACCCGATCTAAGACTTTTCTCTGCTCGTCATTTCCCAAATGGTACACGGATGAAAAGTAACTGCATTCTGTGAATTAAAAAATAAAAGAATATGATTATTCTGGGGGAAAAAAAAACCAACAACAACACATATACTGCATGCTGGGAAAGAGGATTTTAAAGAAGAACTCCGGGTAAAAGTGTTCTTAACCCTTGCAGTGGGGCTACTCTGCACTACAAGGGTTAAGTGCCAATTTCTTTCTAGGTGCTAAAAAACAAAAAAGTTATAATCACCCAAACTGCGAAGCCGGCTGGCTGCTTCTCTGGTCCCTTCCTCTTCTCTTCCCCTCTGGTGCAGCAATGGAAAGTCCCTCGGCGTCCTATATACTGTTTATAAAACGTAATGTGACTCAGAGCTAGCTCACACCAGCCCCAGTGCTTTCCGGCCCGATTCTGGAACAATCAGATTGTTCAGGAATTTTGATAGCCAGTGGGGCCGACTAGCAAGATACTGAAGCTTGGCCCAGTGGAAGATTCCTCCACCCACACAGTGTAACGTAGATGGAGGAATCTGTTGCACTTTTTCCATCTGACCATAGAAAATCTGCAGATAATCTATAGGTGTATGGCCAGCTTTAGAGACGAAAGCAACTTTGGTAATGCGAGTAATGGTACTCTCCCCCTCCCCCGCTTCCCAACCTGTGGAGTTGGCTAGGAAGTTATCAGCAGGCAGCAAAAGAACTACAAAAGGCAATCGCATCATTTATTATTATATGACCCTTTTAAAACTCTACATTTCACATTAGAGCTAGTTGAATATATCAAGAAATATTTTAAAGCAATTTTTCAAGAGTCACACACCTTGTCCCTGTAACAAGACGGACACAGAGGCCTTCTTCACCGCGAGTTCCATGCAATTACTCCAATCCTTCTTCATTTGGAATTGGGTGAAGTGATAGGACGGCCACCAGTCACTCCTGGAAGTCCACGCTTCCGATATCCAAGATGTCTGACCACTGTAGGAGAGTCTCACATTAATCTCACAAGGAATCTAATTTAGAGCAACTGCATTTTTTTTTTTAGTATGCTGCCACCAGTATAAAACAAATGCCCACCTTGTCTGCTCTGCTGTCCCACTCCATGGCCCAGCACTAGTCCTCATATGGATGAACAATGTTCGGCATCATTCAAACCATTTCCTGTGAGCCCAGGCTCTCATGGACTGCCTCTCACGTGCTCTGCGCACCAGCAAGGACCACCCACCACCATGAGAGGGAAGAATAGCACCCTGCACATGGTGTGACTAGAAAGAGGATAGTTCCAAAAAAGCTATGTATGATAAACCTTATTTTTTTTTCAGTGGCATGGCTGGGTATGAAGGGGGGGAAGGGGTGCCCAACTTTAGTCAAAATGATTATTTTTGGATGGGGAGGGGATGAATCAGTCCTCCCTTAACATTACAATGCGTTACTGTGTACTAGCCACCTTAACGCAGGTAAAGTCATATATGCACTTTTTTTTTTTCCCTTTAACACAGAAAAAAAAAAGTGACATTTGTTGCTGTGACAGCTGTCTAAGTGGGAATTTGACCACCTACTATGGGGACAAACAATTGAAGTCTTTCAAGTAGGACACAGGTGGCATCAATAATAAACTGACATGGGGTTTTAAACCCTTCCCTACAAAACATAAAAAAAAAAAAAAAAAAAAGAGTTTCCTTAGACACAGCTCAACATAGTTGCTGCTACCTTATTTTTACTGTTATATACAGTCCTGGTTTGCCCGCAGACCCTGTCTTGGGTGCTCTTGCATTAGGTTCGCCAGCTACTGGCTGTAAGGTGTTAAAGTGAAATAATCTGTAATATTTCACATTCAACCGATTGACACAAAAATAATACTGAGAAAAGACCAACACCAAGGTGTGGCATGATATTTTCCCTGTCTGTATATAAAAGGGACCCAGCTCAGCCATTGTACCCCATGGTCGGTGCAAGTAAGCTAGCAGCTGCTCATGTGGTTTAGCGGCATGATATAAAAGGTAGAAATGTAATGCTGTATTTGTATGCGTTACATACATAGCAATTTGTTTTTATATGAAAGCCAATGCTCTTCTGGCTGGTGACCCGCAGAAATGACCTGACACGTCTGACACTGTAATTCATATAAGTTAGGAGTTACACGTTTTGGCATTGTCCTCTTCAGTAACTTAAATAAATTCATTTCAGTACAGCGTTGAATGACGGAATAAACGTCAGTCAAAGTACCGCAGCGCTGAATACTGAAAAATGGCCTGGCCAGGAAGGGGGTCTAAACACCTGGTCTTGAAGTGGTTAATGACGTGCCCACTATTGGAGAGGGAAAAGAGGAAGATGGACACCGACTGTCACATGACATGGACGATGTGTGAAAATTAAGGTATGAATGCTTTACATTCTTTAAAAAAGAAGTTTCTGAATAAGACAAGGCTTAAAAAAAAACCCAAAAAAACCCAAACTAAAAAACTTATTACACAATGCCAGGCGTGTCAGGTCATTCCTGCGGGTCACCGGCCAAAAGAGCATTGAATTTCATATACAAACAAATTGCTTTGTGTGTAATGCATACTGTACAAACAGAGTATTTCATTTCTACATTCTATCATACCGCTCAACTGCATTAGCAGCCGGGAGATGGAACGACTTCTGTGCGCACTTCACGTTTAAGGACTAGTGACTGAAAAATAGACCTTTAACCAGTTGACATCCGCGGTGTTAAACCCCCTTCCCATCCAGGCCATTTTTCAGTATTCAGCGCTGCGTTACTTTGACTGATATTTATTCCGTCATGCAAAAAAAAAGTTTCCCCTATGTTAAATTCTAAAACATTTATTATTACCCACTTTTTTCCTGCCCGTGCGCGCGCTAGGGGGCGCGCGCAAGCAGGAGAAAAATGCCGTCTGGAGACGGGAACCCGCAAATGCTGGTTGCCGTTCGTCCGTTTTTTGTTAACGGGCGGAAGGCAAGAGGTTAAAAAGGAATGTATTAAGGCCCCGAAGAAATATCAGCTCAAACTATCACTACATACATTCCTGCCGCATCAAAGCAAAAGGTGTGCAAAGTAGACATGTGCGATTCGTTGCAGAAAAATTCATTTTTCGGAGATTTGGATGTATCCAAATTTCCGAATAACAGAAATTACGAATGGAAACGAATCCGAATGTCCGAAAACTAAATTTCGGACGAAATTCGTTAGCGGTAGTCTGTACGAATTTTCGATGCAGCAAAGTGACATTAAAAATACATTTTTAATTTTTTATATACCAGACCCTTTGGGTCTGGTAAGAATGTTAGGGGGACCCCAAGTTTATTTTTTCTCCACCATTTTTTTAGGGTGGGGTTCCCCCTTAAAATTCCTACCAGACCTAAAGGGCCTGGTATGGATTTTGGGGGTAACCCCACGCATTTTTTTTTTTTTAACTTGGGGGGGGTCCAATTAAAATATCTTTTTAATGTCACTTTGCTGCAACGAAAATTCGTCCACGAACGAAAATATGGGGGTGACCCGCTCTTCTGGGGAACCCGGAACCACAGCAAATTAGATCAGAATGGAGAGCGGGGAGCAGAGCGGAGTACGTCCATTCTCTGGTCTGTTCCGTGTGAACAGTGAGACAGGAAGGCTGTACAAAAATGTTTGTCATTTGTGTATCACTTGGCTGTAGATTCTCAAATCATCTCTGAATTGGTGATGACACTGTCCTTCCTTCTGGAGGGTGACTACTTTTGTTACCCATTGATCCTGTGTGTGTTGTAAAGTAGTCACCACTTCAAGCTCACTCCTGTGATAGACTACAATCTCATGATTAGTTTACTAATTTGTATTGAGATTGTAGTCCATCACAGGAGTGAGCTTGGAGCGGTGACTACTTTACAACACACACAGGGACCATGGGGAACAAAAGTAGCCCCCCTCCAGAAGGAAGGACAGTGTCGGCACCAATCCAGAGATGATTTGAGGATCTACAGGAAACATTGTTGTTCATAGTTCAGGTGCTTGAATGTATTTTTAAGATGAAACTCCTGAGTTTAGAGTCACTTGCACTTACCATTTCAGTCTGCTTCTCAGCTGCTTCGCTAAATGATTCCAAGCTTTCACATTGTCCTTCCAGCCTGAGAAATCCAGAAGGTCAAACAGAACTTGCAGTGCAAGCTGGTGATGTTCATCCGACTCTATCAGAACATAAAAAACAATCACGGGATTAAACAGAAACATCTGCGACTACAAATTCTTTGTTATTGTGGCCACTTAAAGTGGAACGGATGAGTAAGAAAAGAAAAAAAAAAAAAAGGAGAGAGAGTTTCAGCACTTGGTGTACACATCAGTTATTTTCTCACTTCCTTGAACAATGGGTGACGACGCAGTTTGTTCTGTAGTGAAATCACATAGCAGTGTTGTCACCCTGTCTTAAGCTGGCCATACACTAGTAGATTTTCGAACGAAAGATCTTTCTTTACCACCCGATAATGCCATCAAACACTTGGCGAATGTCGAAATAAATTTTGTTTTATTTTAGTATTCAATTTTGGAATGAATGGAGTTTCCAGAACGAAAACCACATTCACCTTTAGAATTTAGTTCATTTGAAAAACGTTTTCCATCCTGCTCCTTCGAGTTTTTTCATTACTACGGTAGAAAATTGATCATCGATTTGACACCATCAGCTAATAGAAAGTCGAAAGAAAGATCTTTTGTTTGAAAGTTTGTTTGCCATTCGACTAGTGCATGGCCAGCTTTGGATGGACATGTAGTTTTAAATGTAGTTTTAAATGGATATTAACCAAGAGAGACAACCAAATCAGAACTGAGCTCACACTTTATAACCGCTGGCCGCCGGCCCTTTAAAACTTCTTTTGTTATAGAAGGCAGGGACACGGGAGAGGGAAAAGAGGAAGCTGGACACTGATGGTCACATGACATGGACGATACATGAAAATTAGAAATGCACCGATAGGAGGATCGGCGCCGATACTGAGTATTTGGGCGAGTACCCGTACTCGCCCAAATGCTCCCGATGCTTATCCAGATTTCCTCTGACCGGCAGTGCCGTAGGGCAACATGGTGCCAGCTTCCCGTGCGATCAGGAAGCTAGGCAGCGAGTAAAGACCCGCCTCCCGGCTTCCTGATTGGCCAGAAAGCTGGCTCCATGCTGCATTAGCATCAAGCCAGCCGAACAGCTAGCTCCATGCTGATTGGCCGCTAAGGCGGCTCCTTGCCGATTGGCTGGAAAGCTGGCTTTCCAGCCAATCAACATCGATCAGGCTTCCCGGCCAATCACAATAAAGCTGACTCCATTCCAGCGGAAGCACCGGTACTGGTACTCGGTATCGGCGAGTACCAACAGAAAAATATATCGGTGCTCCTACTCGATGCCAAAAAAACCCCGGTATCGGTGCATCCTTAATGAAAATTAAGATTTGCATGCTGTACAAAAAAAAAAAAAGAGGTCAAATTACTGAATAAGACAAAACCTAAAGAAGAACGCCAGGAATCTACAAAAAAATGAACCCTTGCAGTGGGGCTGCTCCTGCACTGCAAGGGTTAACTGCTCGTTTTTCTCTAGGGGACGGCATTCAGAAGTTATACTCACCTGATCCTCACCTCACTCCCCCTTCGCTCCGGCTGTGGTATGTCTCTCGACGTCCTCACGTCTAATGCTGGTGAATGGACCTGTATTAGACGTGATGATGTCATAGGTCTTAAGACTACTAGGGCCTGGGGGAGAAGAGGCTGCTGGGACCAGTCTATCAGCCCGACAGGATCGAGGTGAGTATATATTTTTTTTTTAGTTTGAGTACCCTAGACCAAAACGAGCACTTAACACCCCCCCCCGCCCCCCCCTCAGCCTTGTGTTAATGATGTATGTAACTAGACACCGACTCCTGTGCTACGATAATCCACTGCTAACCTCACCGTTCTGTCATCTCATCATAAACAATGATAATGAAGAGCAGGTAGAAGTTAAAAAAGAAAACAAAATATCTGGGCTTAAAGTGACATTAAACCCTCAGATTTTTTAACATAAAACAATACTGTAATGTGCGCCTTCCTGTAATCCATGGTTGTTTCCCTTCTCTTTGCTGCTCTTCCTTTTAAATCCGTATCGCTTCTAATGCTGGGCAGAACTTCTGTTTTGCAGCAGACTGCCTTGTCTCTGGAATTTATACATGGTGTCTGTGTATAGGTTCACAACCTGAGCCAGCACTACAGGAAGAGGCAGTCTGCTGCAAAGGGAAGTTCTCCCCCAGCATGAGAAGACATGAGGATTTAAAAGGAAGAGCAGCAAAGAGAAGGGAAACAACCATGGATTACAGTAAGGCGCACATTACAGTATTGGTTTATGTTAAAAAATCTGAGGGTTTAATGTCACTTTAATGCCAGCCGCCGCTGCTCCGGGTTATTACATCTGTAAGAGTGGTGGAGACAGATACAGCGAAACAACTGTCCTGTGCCTACAGATGCCATCACCTAGAATACATCTGTGCAGAACTGACTCCACCTAGTGGAAAGTCAGTATCGTCAAAAGCCTAAACTACACAAGGCATTTTAGTATTATGTTTTTGCATAAATGGATTTTTGGTATTATGCTTTGCTATGATTTAGCCAGAACTCCAGAAAAAAAAAATCCAGAATCCCAATGTAATCAAATGGGTGATGGTGTGACCGCGGATTGTGCCACGTAAATCCAAATATGTAAGTAGTCACCCACACACCAGGTCCAACGTATTGAAACGCCTTTATTTAGACGCTAAGAGTACATGGTAGCCCTAGTGGACAGCACTGTTTGGGAACCATTAGCGGTCCCTTCATCAGGCAAACAGTGATGAAGTGAGCGCTAATGGTTCCGAAACGTTGCTGTCCACTGGTGTACTCTTAGCGTCTACATAAAGGTGTTTTGACTAGTTGGACCCGGTGTGCACGTGACTACTTGCATCTTTCTCTAACTGGAGACTGCCATGCAGAAAACTCTGGGAGGCTAAAAGAAGAACAGATACCTATACTAGCAGTATTCAGATATTCCAAGTGGGTATTTATGAAGAATAGAGAATAGGAATGGAGATGTTGCCTGCAGCGACCATCTGTAATAGATGGAAAGCATCAGAGTCCTTCAGCTGGATGGTTATTTCAGGAGTGGAGAAATACCCCGTCAGAGCTTTGCTAGTCATGCAGATAAATTAATTACTGCTGATAAAGTGCTGCACATGTCCTTTTCTCTTGAAGGAAACACTTCCCTCTCTCCTTCTAGTATCAGCATTATTTTTTACTTTTACTTTGTTCCTGTAGTGAGCTTTTATTATTCCATACAACATCACCAGGCTTGTAAAAAATGTTTCCATTGGCAGCCACAAGTAGGTCAGTTCCTGCTGATGTAGGAACAGCCCCAGAACTACATCTCCCAAGAGCCCTTTTCCTACAGTTTGTTGGAAGCCTCTTGGGAGTCAAGGCAGCAGCATTGTCGTGCCGAGAATGAAATCAATGTTTGCCTGTGGACAGTGACTGAGAGGGATAGTGAATAGAAGAAGATCTCTAGTTTAACAGGCAGAGTTGACAACACTACTTGGGATCATGTCATACCACCTCACACATATAATATCTGTCACCTATGACCCTGGTCCCTTAACCCCCTGAACTTGGTTACCTCGTGTTACAACAATATGAGATCTTAGCGTTTGGGTTTAGATCTACTGTAAAGTATATTGAAACCCAAAAACGTAATATATTGCAGCTTACAAGTCCGTTGATATGGGGCCTGCATTGGCTTTTTTCAAGCATTTTCTTTTATATTCACCTGTTGATCCTGCCAGTAACACAGGTCCTGACCCAGGATGACAATGTATAGTCACTGTACTGTACCTATAGAGGAGCAGTGTTGTCACCCGATGCTGCTCTCCTCATTTGGACTGCAAACACCTCGACGTCTCCTCATCTCAATAATATGGGGGACGGGGGGTTGTATTTCATGGATAATAGCTGGGAAGGCTAATGTTTGAGATTTTAGTTCAGTGTACAGGGACATTGGATTTCTGGCAGGATTAGCAGCATGTATTCTCTACTTGCTGAAAATGTACTAAGCCTGAAACAAGAGCACTAATGTCTAAGAACTGGCTAGCTGCAAAACATTATAATTTTTGTTCTTGGGTTTAGAAAGATGCATCATCTGGCATTACCTGCATGCTGAACTGCTGAACATGTAAATAGAGTTATATTGGACGTTGGACATATGCTGCCTTCTGTCACAGGCTCTTAAAACTGATAAAGTTATGCGATATGAACTCAAGCTGACAGATTACCAGCGGGATCTTTAGTACAGGTTTGCTTCAGATAAACCTACTGCTTTTATCTAGAGTGCTTTCAGAGTGTTGACAACCAGATGGTTCCTGTACTGCCAGGCTTGCAAGCGTGTCAATAGGGATGATGGGACCAGCAAGGGGAGCCATGTAAGGTATATCACATTTGAAGAAAGGAAAGTACTGATTTGGCCCAACCAAGTACTGATGGGGTGGTCATAATAATCTGGCCACTCAGTGTATATATATCTTTTGTTTTTAAAAAGCACACTGCACATAACCTACCTGAGTTTCTTAGAAGTCTACTGTAGTCCAGCATTAGCTTGTGTGAAGGGACCAGGATATGCAAAATCTGGGGAAACAACACAAAGCTGGTCAAAAACACCCGTTTAAAACTGCACTGCTTCTCCAGGAGTTCAACCCTTTTATGCCCAGAGGTCATTGAAATCTAGATGCCCAGAACAAAATTTAGCATCATCTGTATTTGTCAATTAACTTGACTATAAATATAACCTTGGTAATTATGAAACTTTATGGACATATAAAGCTTTTATTTGGTACACAGGGTTTATTATAGACTGCTAATGGACAAAATTGTTAAGAAAAAGTAAAGCATTCATTTTTATTTAGATTACCATTTTTTTAATACAGTCGTTTAATTAGGACAATTACAGTATTAAAAAAAAGGCACACTGTTATCCTCTGGATCTCCAGGCTGAAAGGTTGTTTGTTTTTTTAAATGAACCTCCAGCCTGATATAACTAGCCAACATAAGTAATACATGATCGGAAACCACTCTTGTACCTGAATGTTAGTTGGTCAGTTACAACCCAGTCTGACAGCTAGCAGCAATGTACAGTGTTGGGAGGGAGTAGATTAACATTTCATTAGCACAGGACATTGTACCGGGGGACCTTCACAATACAGACTGCAGACAGGAAGGGGCTAAGTGCCTTATAGTATGGTAGACTAAAGCATACAGATGTGGTTAAACCTTGTAGTATGGAAGACATTTCACATATCTCTGCCAGGGAGACCATAACCAGGTAAAATTGCAGCAAGTGACAGCACATGTGGCTTGATTAATGGACGTGTCTGAATTAGGCATCAAAGCACCCTATGTAACATTACCTTGTCTCTGTAATGAAAGCGGACACAACAGACGTCAGAATTGTTTTTTTTCTTTTAGGCCAGAAACGAATGAAAATGAGAAATGTGAAGTCTATTAATGTCAGGGTATTGCAGGGGAGAGTCATATGGCAGCCAAATATTTGCAGATGGAGCAAAAACAACTGACAAGCGGAGGTTGTTCTGTAGTATCTCAGTGAAGTGTAGAGTTGATTATGCTTTTTATATATTAGCAGAGATTACAGATCAGAGATGACATCATTTGCAGTCCTCCTGCAATTACAACAGCGTAAGGGTCCCAATCCTTCCAGTCTAAGGTGGGTGAACACATTGGTAGTGTATTTATAAACAATTTGCAGGCGTTTTCATCCTGCAAATATCTGTGAATGTTCCTTTTGGGTGAATAATGCCAAAAATGAATGTTACTAATATGTTTTTTTCCCCCAGAGCAAACGTAATGTGTTGTTGTAATAATACATTAAGGCCACTAGATGGAGCGGAGGAAATAAAAGTATTTATTTCCTACGCCCCCTACACCAGGGGTGCCCACAATGTTTTGTCTTGAGATCTACTTTTCAAATGACGAGCACAATGAGATCTACCAACGAAAAAAAAACCTTTATTTAAAAAACAAGCACATTAAATTTGTTACTGTGACTACTGCCTCTCTCTCCCCTCCCGTCTCTTCTCTCTCTCTCGGCTGTCTCTTCTCTCTCTCTCTCTCTCCGCTGTCTCTTCTCTCTCTCTCTCTCTCCG